GTAATGAACCCATTTTTGGTCCCCAGTCACAATGCGATGCAAAAATCCCTTCCGTCTTTGCCTTTCAAGCAGCTGTTCACAAGCAAACAAACGCCGTTCAACATCTCTCGGCTTCAACTCGTACGGCACCCAATTCCCTTGCTTCTGAATCATTCCCATGGCTTTGAGGCGTTTTGAAATGGCTTGTTGAGTCACTCCCAGTGATTGTGCCAATTCTTCTTGATTTTGACCCGAGTTTTGATCAAGTAATGCCTCCAATTCTGCATCTTTGAAAACCTTCTCTCTTCCACCGCTATGCCGTTCTTCGATGTCAGAATCACCGTTCTTGAAGCGTTGAAACCACTCACGACACGTTCTTTCATTAATAGCGGCCTCATCATAAGTATTTGAGAGCATTCGATGAGCCTCAGCCGCAGATTTCTTTATATTGAAGCAGAAAATTAAAACCTCCCGCAAATGACGAGAATTTGGCTCGTAAACTGACATTTTCAGTCGAGAATAACTTTATAATGCAGACACAAATCGACTAATGTTTCTATGGGGTTATGTTGACAGATGCCCAAGTTTATTGTATGACGTCTATGATCTATTTATTTCGACCACCATTTACCGCTAAAGCCATCTATAGGAAAACGGCGGAAGCAAAGTTATACACCTAATATTTAAGATGGTTTTAAAATAAAAACGGACTATGAATACCGCCCCATGATTCGCGTTTCACAGTTATAGGCCTTGCGGAATGAGAAGCAGAGAAACGACAGAGAGCGCTAATTTTAGAGAGAGACTCAGTTGCAAACTGAGCACACCATGGCTGTTTTCCAGCTAGGACACAGAGACGTTACACTGTGTTCCACTGTGTAAAGTCTTGTTGGAACGCTCAGAACTCTAGATTTAGTTTCTGAGAGAACCGCCAGAGTGGGTTTGATTTCTCTATTTTACTTGTTAGTCATCTATATTAACTTTTTAATATGGGTAACTAATATGAGCCTAATTAATATGAGCCTAATTTCATCGAAATCGGAGGTGAGGACCGTATTCTGAATAATTACCTTATAAATTTATGATTAATTATCCTTTTTCTCTTCTATTATACTATACGTACAACCGGTACAATTAGGTTATATTCATGCTAGAAATGAATCCCATAATTTCCACACGCCACATGTTGCCACACGTTAAGTATAAAATTTCTTGAAAAGTTGGTAATACTGACATACTCTACACGCTCGTACTTAACTTTTTACAGTGTCGAGCAGTGTAACACTGTGTCATCTGTGTACGTTGTTGGAAAACACCCCATGTAATCCTTCCACTATGCTCGGTACGTTAGTTATAAAACATCAGAAACGCGAATCAGAATTGCCAATCCTGAGTCGCGATACCTCGTTGCCACATGACGCACACAAGGAAGAAACCGTATACGTGTATGCGCAAGAGTAATTATTTATCACTTCAATTGAAATTCAAATTTAATGTTTAATTCCAAATTTGAAACTAAACTTTACACAAATATTGTTTTTTTTATAATTTAATAAATCGTTAATTATTTAATTACATTCTTTATAAGAATTTAAATTAATTTGTAACTAAAAAATAGTAATACGTACAATTTGTAGTTTGTGATGCAATTTGTAAGTTTTTATAATTATATATCTAAAAGTTACTTTAATAATACAAATTTCTTTGTAATGTTCTGT